TCATTATCAAATGTTTATTAAGTACCTTGTGTATGGCAGCATTTAGGCTTATGAATATGAATCACCCAGTCTTTGTCTAATCAGCAGCATTTTGCAAAAACGTTTTCTTTTCTTTCTTCTTAAAATACTTTCTTCACTTAGTATTCACACTTTCTAGGTTTTTATTTTCTTTATCTTTGATATTTTTCAGTTTCTTTTGCTTCATTCTTTTCGTGTGGACCTCCTAAATGAATGACTCCCAGAGCATAATCAGTCATGCTTTTCTTTTGAGCTCTATTTCATTCCCTAAGTCATCTCACTTAAATGTTGTGGCTTTAAATAGCATTGATACATTGACATCTCTGAAGAGTATATTTTATTCAGCACTGATATTTTCCTTTAATTTCAGCCCCAGATAGCCAACTGCCGTATCTCCAATGGGCTATCAATAGGTATGTCAAAATTCACAAGACCAAAACATATTGTAACTGTTTGGCCCCCTTGACTTTGCATTTAGTGGTCCATCTGTTCATTTTTCAGATTATGACTTGGCTAGCTTCCTTGTGTCATTGAAGCCTGTTTCTCCTTTACTTTTCTTGATAATAACATTATTCTTTACCACTATCTTAACCAATACTTTACATTATACTTGACATATATAATATATATATTACCAATTTTCCAGTTGCTGAGAGCTGTTAATCTCCTATTTTTTATTTTTACTTTTTTAAAATAACTTCTTGCCACAGGATGAGAAATTAATCTTCTATTTTTTAAGTCAATTTCTTCTCATATTTACTGTGGTTTTTGCTTTATCTTTGTTTTATTTGATTCATTACAATTTGCAAATTATGTCACCATGATGGCTTGAACTCTGTTATTATACAATTGATGTTTTCACCTAGTTAATACTTTTTGCTTTTTTTATTCCTCGTAGTTTTACAAAATTTGCATCTGCTTTTATATCTTTTATCTCTCATGAGTCACCTTGTAGTATGTGGCCTTTTTGTAGATAGTAATGTGTCTACTTATTCACCCAAATCCAAAGGATAATATTAACTGTGTTATTTTAGGGTTTTATTGACACTTGGTATTAATATTATTTTATTTAAAATTTTTTGTTTTTGATGTTTTGTGCCTTTATTTAACCTTTTCTTTTCTGCTTATTGCTATATGGTTTTCTTGTTGAGTTTCTTTTTTAGAGACAGGGTCTTTCCCTATTGCCTTCTTGATATTCTGTCTCAAATAATTTAGAAGGTATGTGATATGTTTTTATTTCTATCTTTGCTTAATTTTAAACTTTAAATAGTATTATTATTTTTTCTTTTTGTCAACTTCAGAAAAACGATTCTTTCGTAGGAACTGTGAAAGTTGAAGGAACTACGTCACTTTCATGACATCTAATATTCTCCTCCCCAAATTTATTATACTTCATGATTTTTGTGGTTCCAATTTATCATAGTTATAATGTATTAGGTTTTCCTTTGCGCTTTATAACATGCATCTCAGTGTAACTTTAAAAAATTCTAGTTCTTTAGCTTTTAATTGTACTGTAGTCTTTTTCAAACTCACTTCATATCTTCAGTCTTCTGTGGCTTTTGTTTTTAAGGTTGAGTCTCTGTCTTGTCACCTGTGCTGGAGTGCAATGGCATGATCTCGGCTCACTGCCACCTCTGCTTCCTGGGTTTAAACAGTTCTTCTGCCTCAGCCTCCCAAGTAGCTGGGATTACAATAGCTTGCCACCATGCCTGGCTAATGTTTTTGTATTTTTAGTAGAGACAGGGTTTCATCATGTTGGCCAGGCTGGTCTTGAACTCCTGACCTTAGGTGATCTGCTCACCTCAGCCTCCCAAAGTGCTGGGATTATAGGCGTGAGCTACTGCACCTGGCCTATCTCCTGTGTTTTCTAATTCTTTTTTGGGAAAAAGGTTTTTTTCTTATACGAAAGGAATTTGTGTTAATTTTAGAAAATTTGAAAAAACACAAAAAAGCACAAAAGAAAAAATCACTTGTAGTCTCCCTTTGAGAATTATATTAATAACTTAGTATATGTTCTTTATCTTTTCTCCCTGTGTATGATGTTATTACTTAGCAACACTTGATTCTTTATTTACACAATTAACTACTTTTCCCTTTCACTTACTCTGTATTGAACATTTTCCTATGACATTAAAGTCAAGCTGTAGAACACATAATAATTATATGGTATTCTGTACAGACATGTTATAATTCAATTAATCCTCCATTGTGAGACAGTTTGTTTACAGCTTCCTCTTCTAAAGTGTGCTTTGATGAATGAGGATGATTTATATCTCCTAGATTTCTTTTTTTTTTTTTTTTTTTTTTTTGATAAAGTTCTTAGAAGTGGAAGAATTCTGAGGCTTTAGCATCTTGTGGTGATTAAGTGCATGGACTTTGTAGTCTGACTGCCTTGGGTTCAAATCCTTACCTAGATGTATACATTTAGGCAATTAATTTTTTCCGTCTGCTTTAGTTTCTTGCTTTTTTTTTTTTTTTTTTTTTTTTTTGCCCTTTTCCTGCAGTATGTTTCAGTTTCTTAATTTGTATGCTTCAAATACATAGAAAGCACTTAGAACAGTGTCTGGGACTCAAACAGTCATGGTTGTCATCATTTTTATTTAAAGGATGTACCTATTTGAAATGTTTTTGCTATAGATTACATTTTTCTCCTGAAAAGTTATATGAATTTGTATTCCTGTCAGCAAAACACGAGAGTAACATTTTACCAGCTCTGGCCAACAGCTGCTGTTATAATTGTAAAATTTGATTGTTTTTGGAGGTTTGGGCCTAACTTTATAGGAGCAATATATGTTTGTCTTAATCTCCAATTTTTGATTATTGATTATGGATGTTTGGTTTTTGGGCATTTTCATATGGAATAATTATATTTAAATGCTCTTTATTCAAATTTTAATTAGCCCAATGTTGCCTTTTATGTTATAAAAATAGGCAACAATTTTATGTTGCCTTTATTTTTTCTAGTTAGCTGTTTGCCTGTTAATTTGATTTTAAGTTGTTTTATGTACATGTTTTGCCTTTGTGGAACATATGTGTAAGGCAGTTCTTTTCCATATACTTTGTTTTTTTTTTTTTAAATTCATTCATCTATTTTTGATAATCTATTATTTGTGATGGTATAAATAAATCTATAATTCACTTACTAAGTACTTTCTCTTTGCCAGTATAGATCTCACTTTTGAAAAATTTAATTTTTATTGCAGAATAATTTTAGATTTATGGAAAAGTTGCAAAGATGGCTTAGAGTTATTGTATATGTTCTTTACGCAGTTTCCCCTGTTGCTGACATCTTGCATTACCATGATACATTTGTCACAACTAAGATACCAACATTAGTACATTACTCTTAACTAAATGCCACATTTTATTTGGATTTCAGTAGTTTTCCCACAAATACTCTTTCTGTGATTCAAGATCCTATATTACATTTAGTTGTCATGTTCATTCTCTCCTCTGGTCTGTGACAGTTGCTCAATCTTTCCTTGTTTTTTATTATATTGAGAGTTTGGAGGATTACTATTCATGTGTTTGATTGAACTTTCCTCTGATGTTTTCCTGCTGGTTAAACTGGGGTTGTTTTTATTAATATAGATTCATGGATATTTTACTGCTTAAATTTTTTTAGCATTGGCTGGCCAGTCTCTGTGACCCTCTGACGTGATCCATACTGCCCCCTTTCTTTTTCCTTTTTTTAAAACACTTCTTTCTGGTATAAGGTGCTCCAGGTTTATCTTCTGTATTCCCTTACCCAGCTCTAGAATCAGCCATTTCTCCCAACTACTCCTGTTTTCTTTTACTGGTGAATGGTATGTAGAAACAAATATCAGGGTACTGGATGTGCTTTTGGGTACTGGTATGTGACTGCCTCTAGTCCCCCTCAGTGGACAGAATTAGAAAATACTGTTTGTGAACACACACCCCTATAATGATTTCTTTATCTATTTATATCTATATTAGGGTAAATACAAGTTTGCCCTGATGTCTCTGATTCTAATCCATTACCACAGGGTTCATTCTGCCCTCTGTCCCCTTGCTTAACTGTAACGTCCCCCTCCAAAAGGGCGAAACCTGGCTCTCACATCTGCCAGCCATTTGCTTATTTGTTTAATCCAATATGTGTGTAATGTTTCAGAATTAATCCATATTCCTTGTGAAAAACAACTTTACCAAATCAAGCAGTGTTTATGTAAAGCTCTGCTTGCCTTTAGCCTTACAGTTTCCAGTGAAATCACCATCTTCTAAAGTTACTTATATCCGTTCCTTTTCCACTCACAGTTCTGCTTTTGATGGTATGCTTAAAAGTCTGTCTTATTCAAAAAATTGACTTTATATAGTATAAAATATACATACATTATGTTCTATATGATGCGTTTGTGGTATATGTAATAAATATATAATATAGCAATATGATTGCATGCAATATAATATCTATGCTACGTATAATATGTATATGTGATTTTATTTATTTCTATATGTTTTATTGCTTTATTTTTATTTTAAATTCTTTTTTTTTTTTTTAAGACAGAGTCTTGCTCTGTTACCCAGGCTGGAGTTGCTGTTCACAGACATGATCCATCGTAGTGCACTGTGGCCTTGAACTCCTGGCCTCAAGTCATTTTCCAAATAGCTGAGGTTACAGGCATGTGCCGCTGCACCCAGCTATTTTTACCTTAAATTCTTAAATACATATCTCTAAGGTTCATTTTGTCACTTAGTGTAAAGTATTAATAGAACTTTTTATTTTAAAGAAAAGTTAGCTTATGGAAAATATTTTTCTCTGTTGTTGGAAATGCCACCTTTGTCATATTTTAAAATCTTACCTATACTAGAAGCTTTCTGTGCTTTTCTTACTCTTTCGTTTTCTATTCTTACTCAGTTTTCAAATATTACATAACTTTGTGATAATTTCAGCATTTGGTAGATTATTCCTGTTTTGCCTGTTCATGTTTACTTAAATTTTTTAATACTTTTGTTTATTCCAGGAACATTTTAGTGGATAAACCAAATGACCAATCTTCAAGATGGTCTTCAGAAAGCAACTATCCTCCCCAGGTAAGATTACATGCATTCACTAATGCTGTTTAGAAGTCAGCATTTAAATAAACACTCAATTGATATTAGTTATCAGAAATCTACTAATAGTTTATTCTCTTTTTGAGATTGTGAGGTAAATGTTTATTGTCTCTATTTTTGCATATTAAATTTTGGAATAATTTTTATTTCACAGGCAAATGCAGTGTGGTATTTGATGAAACATGGACTTTTACTTCTGTCTACCAGAATACTTACACTCAAGTTATTCTGTAAATGTTTAAGAAAATGTTAATAAATCAAACTTTGACTCAATGTCTTATGGGGAAAATGAACTCAAATAGTTTGTTATTTTATTTAAATATTTTTAATATTAAAAATGATATTAAAAATGGCATCAGGACAATGTGCTAAATTTCTTTTCTCTGACAAGTAGTGTCTAGGGTTGACTAAATTTAAAATTATTCTTTCAGTTATATGCTTTCAGCATTAATGTTTATAATGTACTAGGCACACATATATCCATATCCTTGAAGAAATTAATGCTCTGCTAGGTAAAGCAGATGGGTAAATAATACTTAATTTTTAATTGTAATATAATTCATGGAAATCTAGTCTCTATTTCTCTCTCTCTCTCTCTCTTTCTCTCTGTGTGTGTGTGTGTGTGTGTGTGTGTGCGCGCGCGCGCGTGTGTGTGTGTGTATATATATATATATAAAATATGTATATATTTTTCTGCTCGCCTACCAATTTGGATCACCTGGTGTTTACATGCTTTATTGCAAAATACATGTCTAAATAATATATATTTATAATTTTTATATATAATGTAAAGAATAAAACAGCCTGTTTATTCATCAGCCATGTTTAGAAATGGTAAGTAACTACTACCTTTTGAAGCCTCCTATGAGCCCTCTCTTATATCTTCCCTCTAACCCCTCCCTAATAACTATAACTCATGTTTTATTAAGCATTTTAAAATAATACCACATAGGTATAACATATACATATTTTATGATTTAGTTTTTTTTGGCTTTGACTTTATACAAATAAAATATAAATGATTCAGTCATTTAAAAATTTTCTGTGACTTGCTTTTTTTAACATTATAATGTTCATTAATGTTGTTATATATAATTGCAGTTTGTTCATTTTCACTGCCATATAATATTCCTATGTATAAATATGCCAAAATTTATCCATTTTGCTGTTGATAGGCGTTTAGGTTTTTTACCATTTTTCGCTATTATGAAACAAGCTGCTGTGAACATTCTTGTGTGTTGTCTTCTGGTACACATGTGTAAGAGTTTTTTTAAGGTATATATACTTTGGAGTAGAATTGCTGAATCATAGGGTGGGTATATGTATATTGAACTTTATCAGGAAATGGAAAACTGTTTTACAAAGTAGTTGTAGAATTTATCCACTTGCCGTGTATTGAAGTTGCTGTTGCATCATGTTCTCATCGCTTCTATGGGTGATTTTTTATATGTTGTCAGTTTAGTGTTTAGTGCATTTTTCATTTTAACTCATTGTGGTTTTAATTTGCTTTTTCCTTTTTACATTAAAATCTCTTTGCCTATATTAATGGACTTACATTGTGTTTTTAATCAGGCTTTTCGATTCAGTTTTTCATTTTAATTATTAATAATTTTAGTGCTCGAGTTTTAGTATGTTAGTGATTTTCATTTGGTTATTTTTATTTTTTATTCATGAATTATCTTTTTTTCTAAAAAAAGAAAATTCAGTCATCATAACTGAAACAATGATAACTTTGTTATTTTGAAATTGTCTGTATGTGTTATTGGACTCTATTTTGAAGGCAGTAGAATTTAATGTGTTTCTTAACTTTCTGGTTTGCTTATTCATTTATTAAAAAATTACTTAGTAAGCATCTATGGATTGCCAAACTTTGGTATTTGGAATACAGTAGTGAACTAAATTTTGTCTCCTCTTGATGAGCCAAGGATATTGAGTCAGATACCCTGAAACATTTCAGTGTGATTAGTCCTAGAGTAGGAGTTATCTGAAACTTTTGTAATGAAAAAGGACTAATTTGTCATGGAAATAAATACCATGCAATCTAGTTTTCTTCATTCTAGTTATTACTGAAATATAACTGGGATTTACTGTGGCCAGTCTCAGGGAACAACATTTTTACCAGAAAAAAAAAATAAAATTGAAAGCAAATTTCAGTGTTGATTTAGTTTGAAACTGCCACGTTGGATGGAATAGGTATAGTTTCTCTTCTTTTCTTTTCTTTTTTTTTTTTAGGCAGAGTTTCGCTCTTGTCGCCCAAGCTGGAATGCAGTGGCGCGATCTTGGCTCACTGTAGCCTCTGCCTCAGGGGCTCAAGTGATTGTCCTGCCTCAGCCTCCTGAGTAGTTGGGATGAGTAATTTTTGTATTTTTCGTAGAGACTGGGTTTCATCATGTTGGCCAGGCTGGTCTTGAATTCCTGACCTCAGGTGATTGGCCCACCTCAGCCACCCAAAGTGCTAGGCTTACAGGTATGAGCTGTAATGCCAGGCCAGCATGGGTATAGTTTTCACGTACAGATACGTAGCAAAGAGTCTTGCACTTCTAGTGGTTGTAAGCTATAATATTTCTTTCCCACTCTTGATCTGAAAGTTCCTAATCGGACTGAATAAAAAATAGGTATATCCATGGCTGGATGTGGTGGCTCATGCCTATAATCCTAGCACTTGGGGGAGGCCAAGATGGGTGGATCATTTGTGCTCAGGAGTTTGAGACCAGTCTGGGCGACATGGGAAACCCTGTCTCTGCAAAAAATACAAAAATTAGTCTGGCATGGTGGCATGTGCCTATAGTCCCCAATCCTCAGGAGGCTGGGTTTGGAGGATTGCTTGAGCCCAGGAGGTCAAGGCTGCAGTGAGCCAAGATCGTGCCACTGCACTTCAGCCGGGCGACAGAGTGATACCCTGGTCTCAAAAGAAAAATACACACACACGCACACACACACACACACACACACACACACCCGCACACATACATACATACACACACATAAGCACACACACAAATGAAGGCTGGGACTTTTTTTTTTTTAAGCTGGGATCTTAAAGCAATTCATTCTCAGAATAAGAATGAAACAGAAGAATCCCACCTCCTGGGGGCTGTTGGAAAGAATTGCAGTGACAGTCAGTAGAGGAAGGGAAAATGAAGAAGAAAACATCCCTGAGAGGTAATAGGTATGTATTGGTTTTTGTTCACATTTGGTACTCAAAGTCTCAATACTTGACTATCCATGAAACCATGTGGTCTGATTTTAGTTTAAAGTGATTGTGGATGAATAGTACATTTAAGGTTCTCCGCAGAAGCAAATGCAGATCTTCCCTGAAAATAGTTACCTTTATTTCCAGGCCTCAGGCATCCTCCACAAATCATTATTAAAGGAAATTGAGCAGTACACACTGAAAGATAACTAAGTATAGCAGAAAGTAAGATACTTTTTAAGAACTAGCAGAAACAGTAGACAGCAGAACCTCCTCCAGAATTTTAGATACTGGAATTAAGATTACTGAAAGATACAGGAATTAAGTCAACTACTTATATTAAAAAAAAAAAAGAAATTGGACACTTCAAAGTGATGTGGCAGATTTGAAAAAGAACCAAATAAAACTTCTGTAAGTGAAAAATATAGTAATAAGACAAAGCTTTCCACTAAGTACAGGTAGAAAATATGAAATAGAAGTGAAATTTTAAAAAATACTTTTGAAGGTAGTGTATTGAAAATAAGGTAGTGAAGAGTGACGAGAATGAATGGGACCTACTATTTGATAGCACAGCAGGCTGACTATAGTCAATAACTACTATTATATTTTTATATACCATAAGGAGTATAATTGGATTGTTTGTAACTCAAAGGATAAATGTTTGAGGTTAGGGTACCCCATTCTCCATGATGTGCTTATTTTACATTGTATCCCTGTATCAAAACATCTCATGTACCCCATACATATATACACCTACTGTGCCCACAAAACTTTTTTTCAAAAGTGATAGGGCCAAGATTCAGAAGACTATGAGAATCCAAAAAGAACTACTTTGGAGCCACTTTTCTACTGAATATCTTAAAGAAGTTCTAAGACATTAAGAAGCCGAATAGCACCTTGGACAAACCCTTGGGGCCAGGTAGATACAGATTAGAAGCTAGAACCTGGGGTGTGGTAGGGTGGTAGACTCCTCTTGTTCTGGGTTCAGACGTTCAAGCTATGTCTATAGGGTCAGTGTAAACCAGAAATTGTCTGGCCCTCACAGGGAGTAAAACCCGGTTTCATATCATTTGAGCACTTGAAACTGGATTAAAATAATCAAGAATTGATAGTATCCCTAGCAATAGGCCTGCAGTAGAAGATACACTTTTTTAGGAAGCTGATGTCCAAGCATCTAGTTACTTTTAGTTTTCCTTATTTGGTGTCTGTCAAAATAGAAGGATTTACAGATAATGAGAGTTTTAGATACAAGTCTTAAAATTAGTGCCCTGCTATGTGAAAGGAAAAAAGGAGATGAAAGTTAATATTGAAAATTTTGGTAAAGAACTGGAAACTACATAAAAAAGGAGCAAAATAAAAATGAAAAATACAATACCCAGAATGCAAATTGCGCTTATGAGAATAAAATAAGAATGTATACAAAAGCATTTTCTGAAATTTAGTATACTTTATGTAAAGTAGCAGTATTATTATAGGCAGGTATTGGTAAGAAAATAATTGTTGCCAGTAGTATAATATTACAGATACAAAAAGTTACTCACTTTTTAATTTATTCTAATAATAAGGTGTTACATGACCTGCTTGCTTCAAATAACTATAAATTAGTTTTATTTAGCTTTGAATAAGGAGAAACCTTATTTCACTGAATGTTGATGTCTTTTTAAATTCTTCCCATGAACATACAGTAATTGTAAGGATTAGGATACATGTAGTAGCTACTTTGCTGCCCTTAAGCTATGGCAAGTATTTTGGTTTCATATACAGTTGATTCTGGTTATTCACAGTA